GGGGTTTTACCATGTTAGCCAGGCTGGTCTCGAACTCCTGATCTCAGGTGATCTGCCCGCCTTGGCCTCCCAAAGTGCTGGGATTACAGGCATAAGCCACCATGCCCGGCCATTAATTTTTGTATTTTTTAGTAGAGATGGGGTTTTGCCATGTTGGCCAGACTGGTTTCGAACTCCTGACCTCAAGTCATCTACCTGCCTTGGCCTCCCAAAGTGCTGTGATTACAGGTGTGAACCACTGCACCTGGCCAGAATATATGTAAATATATTATTAATCATAGTACTAATTTATTAAAACTACTTCTTTTACAGTTGGCAAGCATGAATTGACTGGGCATAAAGTTGCTGTGAAGATACTCAATCGACAGAAGATTCGGAGCCTTGATGTGGTAGGAAAAATCCGCAGAGAAATTCAGAACCTCAAGCTTTTCAGGCATCCTCATATAATTAAACTGTAAGCTCTGTTTATATTAAATATAGTCCAGTTATCTTTTCATCTTTTTTGTTAACCTACTTAATGTGACAAGCGAGAAAAATGAGTGACACTTCTTTTTGTTTCCTGAGGGTTTTGAAAAGTTTCTCCCTAGGCCGTGTGCAGTGGCTCACACCTGTAATTCCAGCACTTTGGAATTACAAAGTGGAGGCTGAGGCAGGCGGATCACCTGAGGTCAGGAGTACGAGACCAGCCGGCCAACATGGTGAAACCCTGTCTCCACTAAAAATACAAAAATTAGCTGCTCATGGTGGTGGGTGCCTGTCATCCCAGCTACTCGGGAGGCTGAGGCTGGAGAATGGCTTGAACCTGGGAGGTGGAGGTTGCATTGAGCTGAGATCATGCCATTGCACTCCAGCTTGGGCAACAAAAGCGAAACTCTGTCTCGAACAAACAAACAAAAAAAGTTTCTTCCCGTTCATGTATTTTTCTAACCCCACTGATGGTCATTTAAGCCTATGTTCATGTTTTGCCCTTGTGCTTATCAGCTGTTATCTTCTCATTCTTTCCGGTCTTCTGGAAAGATGCCCTTCTGATAATGTTTAGTGCCCCACTGCTTGCTGTAAAACCAACAATGATCTGCTAGTAAAAACTCTTGACCTCCAAATGCCCACATGATGTCAGTTAGCCTCACTAGCGAGAATGTGGTAGTAGAAAGGGTTTTTCCCCATCCTGCTTATACCTGACCATACAGATAACAAAATTTCAGGAATCCAGTATTTCAAAAGGGCAGTAATCTTAGTGTTGTTTTACAGTTGCCAGTTGTAGAGTCTACAAATAATACATTTTCTGCTCAGCTTCTGCTTTGTTATGCAGGCAATAACTTAAAGCTGCTTAGGTTTTCTGCTGAACTGGCTAACTCAAATTTGTTTCACTCTCACCTCTTCTCATTTGTTGAGTGCTGTGGTTTTAAATACCATCCATATGCTGACCACCCCTAAATGTACATCTCTTGCTTTAAGATCTCTTCTTACACCAGACTCATATGTTCACTGCTGACTTTACATTTCCATTTGTATATTCGCAAGGCATTTAAAACTCAACCCGGCCCAAAATGAACTCTTTATTACTCTCCCAAACCTGCTCTTCCCACAGTTTGCACCATCTTGGCTAATAGCCAGTTACCCAGGGCTAAAACTTAGGAACCATTTTTAACTTCCCTGTTTCTTTCACTTTCTACCATCCATTTCATTTCTTCGTTCACAATCAAGCTAGGATGTGACTGCTTCCCAGTTCCTTTACCACCGTCAACCTGGTCTCAGCCACCTTCATCTGTCTCATGAAATCCTGAAGTAACCTCCTGTGTCTCCCTTTACTGTTGACAGTTAATTCTTCACACTGCTGCCATAGTTTTCCTTTTAATATGCCAGATCACATGACTGCTTAAAACGTATGATAGCTTTTCATCTTCCTTGGAGTAAAAGCCAAAGCCTTATCATGGCTTGTAAAATTCTGTGTCCTCTGGCCTGCAGTTAACACCTTTGACTCTACATCCGATTTCTCTCTTAATATTCCTTGAACATGCCAAGCAGGCTTCTACTTGGGGACTTTTGCAGTTGTTATTCCCTCTCCTGGGTTCACTTTCCTCCTAATTACATAATTTGTTCCCATTCTTCTTTTAGGCTCAGCTCAAATGTTACTTTATTAGAGGCCTTCCTTGAGTACTCTGTATACAAAGATTCCCCTCAATTTTTTTTAATTTTTCTTCATAGCATGTTCCACCACCTGAGATATTGCTTATTTATTTAGTGTCTGTTTCCTGGTTCCTGGAACATGAACTCCATGAGAGCAGAGAATTTTTTTCTTGCACTTTTCCCAGCTCCTAGCATAGTACCTGGTATACTATAGGTGCTTAGTAAATATTTATTGAATGAATGAATATACGTGTTTTAATATTCGTAGACAATGTTTTCTCTCACCAGGTACCAGGTCATCAGTACACCATCTGATATTTTCATGGTGATGGAATATGTCTCAGGAGGAGAGCTATTTGATTATATCTGTAAGAATGGAAGGGTAAGCTGTTCTGATTTAATTCTTTGTGTATTTTGTAACTCCCCTTTATCCTTTACTAGCATCAAAATGTCAGCAAGCAATTTTAAGAGGTCTATTTAGTAACCAGTTCCCTTAGTCATGTATTCGTTTAGAATCATAAACTGTTTAGAACTAGAAAGGATCTTCAAGATTATCTCCTTAGCCTGCTTATACAGATGTGGATACTGAGCCTCATGGCTTACATGTTTGCTTACAGTAATGTGAATTATTAATAACAGAATTGCCTTGAGTCCCAGAACTCATAATCCTCAGACTTATGCTTCCAGAGTATACAAACACTTTGTATATGTATCTTAATGTAATTAATCCTTACAAAATATATTATTACTTAAAGATCTAGGCCTTGCTAGTCAATTCTAGCCACATTTAAATTGCATTCATGTTTTGGTTTCAGAAATCTGATGTACCTAGAGTAGTAAAAACAGGAGGTAGGAATTAGATACAAAGAATTTAGAGGTGGCAGGAATTTTACAGGACATTTTGAACACTACCTTAAGTTACAGATACAAAAACTCAACACTGCCCTCTGCCCATACTTTTTCTCATACCCAGGTTATGTGGTATGCAAAAGCCCCTTTGTGGGAGAGCTGTATCTAGCCCTGAAAAGAAAGCTTGTCTCACTCCCAATCTTAAGTTATTTACATTACTCATTAATTTGTTCTATATAGCATGTCTGTTTACTTTCAACAAAATCAAACTTATTAACCAAGTTAATTTTGATTTTACTATTTCTTAATATGATTCATTTCTATTTCAGGTACTCCCCTTCTTTACTCCTGCTTCTCCTTACCAAAACAAACAAACAAACAAAAGTTCTGCCTGGAGAAATGGGAAACAGGCACAATTGATATATTTTTTTCTTATCTTTTCTGTTGTTTATTTATTGGTTTTACCTTGTGGGTGTTTCTTCAGTTTTACCAGTTGAATATTAAAATTTCAGTACCCATATTTTCTATTTCAAAAGTTTCTTATTTTCTGAAATTTTCATTTCTTTAGTCTGCTGTTATTTGCCTCACAGATGTAATAACCTAGTCTGAGGATGGCATTTTAAAACAAGTTTTCCTCCGTTCCATCTTGTTCTGTACCTTCTGTGCTCTCTGCTCCCCATTTTTTTCTGTTCATTTTATTCATTTTTGTCTTTGACGCATGGCCCTTTTTCAGACATTTGGTGATTCTTGGCTGTCCACTAAATATTTAAGAATGAGGTACTAAATGCCAGGCTTATGTGGGTGGAACTTATTGATTGCTGGCTTTTCCCATAGCTTGAATACGTAGGACTTGTCTATTTTATTACTGTACACCAAATGTTAATAACAACAAATATGTTTTCTTGGATCAGATATTTGCTCTAGAAGAAACCTTCCCATTTCCTTAAAGGCCTTAGCTTAACTGCCAGTGCTGCAGGAGCTGAGTGGGGAAAAGAGATGCAAGTCTCAATAGTTAGTATGTTGACTTTCTCTTAGCCCCCATGTTTTCCTTAGGATGCCTTATCCCTGCCATGGTGTCCTTGAGAGCAGAGCTGGTTCAGCCTTACTAAATTATAGGTCTTATTTCCCAATAGGGGTGAGTTTAAAAGCTTCTTTCTTCAAGCACTTGTCCTGTTTTCAGCTCAGCTCTCACTTCTACCTTGAGCAGTTCCCTATGTTTCCAATTTCTGAGGCTTCCCAGGGCTTTGTGTGCAGACGTTTATTTTTTCCTGGTTTCTACCCCTGTAGGCTTAGGTTTCAGCTTTCTCTTGTAGGCTTAGTCTTTATTACTGTTCATCTATTGTCCTCTTTGGTGACTCCTCTTGAGTACTGCTGTCTCTTTTGTTCTTTTTGTCTTTATATACCTCTTTTATTGCTGATGTCATTTTAGTGATGTTTCAAGAGTTGGAGACAAAAGATTTAATCTGCTATGTTTAATTGGAAATGTATTTTGACTTTTCTAATCTTTCTTGATAGACATCCCTTTCTCCATCCTTTGTAATTGTACTTGTTATGAATACAGTATAATTTTCATTTTCGTAGTCTGCCTAGTTATTTTACTTTTTATATTTTGTTTAATCAAGTTTTCTCCTACTTTTTCATATTTGAACAGATACTCTTTTTTTCTTCCATGAACTTACAAATCTTCTAGAAATAAAAGTATTAGATTGCCAAAGGATTAATATTTTTCTAGAGGAATGGTATCTTATAATACTTTCTTTTTTCAAAATAAATTACTGATTTGTCTTTTCTCCCAGATTATCCATGCCCTTTAAGGTGTAAGTCTGGTTTTAGAATGCTAACTTGTGACCTGTGTTAGAGAATTGCATATTGGAGTCCTTCGCTTAGAGGATTTATAGCTTATTTATTAAATATGACTTCTTGGGAGCAGGCATATCCAAGTAATGATTGTCACTTATGTTGAAAAAAGTGATAAGAATATATGGATACATAGAGAAGTTTAAAAAAAATACTTCAGGCTGCATGCAGTGGCACATGCCTGTAATCCTCAGCACTTGGGGATGTTGAGGCGGTAGATGGCCTCAGGAGTTCGAGACCAGCTTGGGCAACATGGCAAAGTCTTGTCTGTATCAGAAATACAAAAATTAGCGGGCTTGGTGGCATGCATCTGTGGTCCCAACTACTTAGGAGGCTGGGTTGGGAGGATTGCTGGAGCCCAGGGAAGTGGAGGTTGCAGTGAGCCGTGATGGCACTACTGAACTCCAGCCTTGGTAACAGAATGAGACTGGGTCTCAAAATATAAATTTAAAAACCAAAAACAAACAAAAACAAAAACAAAAAGGTAGTTGCTACATAAGATTTTTTTTTCCAGCAAGCATATTAAACATAAAATGCTATGATATTAAGGTTTAATTAATTAAGGTATTTCTTGTTAAAATATCTTATATTTTGGGACATATAGCAACATAGTTGCATGCTGATTTATGAATAGTGCTTAAATATTACTTCCTCATGGTCTAAAATAGTATCCCCCACCCCACTGTCACTCACTGTACCCATATTTTGCTTTGTTTTTCTTCAAAACAGTATCACTCCTTCAGACTATATTTATTAGTCTATTTTCATCAACTAGATTAGGGCCTTTGTTTTATTCATTGCTGTGTAATGAATGTCTAAAACAATGTGTAGCACATTGAAGGTATTTAGCAAATATTTGTTATAAGAATGAAAAATTAAACATTTCCAGCTTATAAAAGAAAATATGCCACATTTCAAGTAGATATTGAAATTATTTGAAATAACTCATGAGATGTAGAGGAAGGCAAGCTGTTACAATGTAGTCATATGCAAATGATAATATTAGAAACTTGAGTTACTGATTTGGGTTCCAAGACCATCTTAGCATTTCTGTTTTGTGCTACAGGTATCTCCTCCTCCTGTCAAAAGTATCTCATAAGTTCATTTGGAAGATTTTCATGTATTTTGACAATTTTATATGTTGGAGAATTATATATAGGGCAATTTACTTTGAAAGACACACCTTTAAAATGCCTCTCTACTTTTCTTAGCTGGATGAAAAAGAAAGTCGACGTCTGTTCCAACAGATCCTTTCTGGTGTGGATTATTGTCACAGGCATATGGTAGTCCATAGAGATTTGAAACCTGAAAATGTCCTGCTTGATGCACACATGAATGCAAAGATAGCCGATTTTGGTAAGGATAATTTTATAATTTCTTACGTTCATTTCTAATGTTCTTATAGTTTCAATGAACCTATATAGAATTCTTCAGATAACTGTAAAAGATTACATAAAGTAATAGACTGAATATGTCAAAGTATTCTATTTTGTCTATGAACATACAAAAATAAGAAAAGCTAAGAAATCATCTTTTCTTAGGTTTAAATGCCTTTATTACTATTACTATTATTTTATAGAGACAGAGTTTCGCTTTGTTGCCCAGACTGGAGGGCAGTGACGTGATCATAGCTCAATGCAGCCCCAAACTGCTGGGCCAGGCGACCCTCCTGCCTCAGCCCCCTGAGTAGCTGGGACTGCAGGTCTGCACTACCATGCCAGGCTAACTTTTGTATTTTTGTAGAGACGGGTTCTCACTATGTTGTCCAGGCTTCTCTCGAACTCCTGGCCTCAAGTGATCCTCCTGCCACAGCTTCCCAAAGTATGGGGATTACAGGCATGCACCACTGCACCTGGCTCTTTAAATATCTTTAAAATTAAATTTTAAACAACTTAAGTTGGTAGCATTAGAGAGACTATTCAAAAAGAGAGTATTATTTGTGAAGAGAAGGTAGCCGCTTTATTTCCAGTATGTTCAAAAGAATCAAGTATGGAGAAGAAGGAAAGTGAGTGGGATAAAATTATTTAAAACTTTGAAAGCCAGAAGTGAACTATGTGAATTATAATTATTTAAAGTTATTTAAAACAGTTTTTTAATTAAAAAAATTTATTTAAAAATTATTTTAAAATGTTTTAAATGATAGTAAATTATAATTTGTTTAAAGAACATTTTGATTGTTAAAAATGAATTTATTTTGACTGGGCATGATGGCTCACGCTTGTAATCCCAGCATTTTGGGAGGCCAAGGCGGGCGGATCACCTGAGGTCAGGAGTTTGAGACCAGCCTGGCCAACATGGTGAAACCCCGTTTCTACTAAAAATACAAAATTACCCAGGCATGGCGGTACACGCCTATAGTCCCAGCTACCTGGGAGGCTAAGGCAGAAGAACTGCTGGAACCCAGGAGGTGGAGGTTGCAGTGAGTCGAGAGTGTGCCACTGTACTCCAGCCTGGGCGACAGAGTGTGACATGGTCTCAAAAAAAAAAAAAAAAAAAGTTTGTTTTTTCTGTATTTCCTATATAAATTGCCATTGACCTTACTAAACCTAAGTGAAAAAGGAATCTCTGCACTTCTTTTCTTTAGGTTGGTTTTAGTTCAAATCAGATAAATTTTTTTTGTTTGTTTTTTGTTTTGAGACAGAGTCTCACTCTGTCACCCAGACTGGAGTGCAGTGGTGTGATCTCTGCTCACTTCAGCCTCCGCCTTCCAGGCTCAAGTGATTCTCCCACCTTAGCCTCCCAAGTAGCTGGGACCACAGATGCGTGCCACCACACCCAGCTACATTTTTTTTTTTTTTTTGTATTTTTGGTAGAGATGGGGCTTCATTATGTTGGCCAGGTGGACTCGAACTCCTGAGCCCAAGTGATCTGCCTGTCTTGGTCTCCCAAAGTGCTGGGATTACAGGTGTGAGCCACCATGTCTGGCCCAGAGAACATTCTTATATTTTCCTTAGTTTTGACTACATCTATATATCTATATTTACACCTATATCTACTTAAACGTTTAGATATTAACTGAAAAATGCCAACCAAACCTGAGCTGGTTGTTTTGGTGTTTCTTTCTTTTTTCTTTTCTTTTTTTAATAGTAATTGGCTTAATTATTTGAATTTCTTATTCCTCAGTTGATTATTTTTATAGGGTGCATTTTTGAGGGAGCAACGGTTTCTTTTTGGAGTAAAACTATGAGGGAACTTTGAAATTCAAAATTACTGGCTTTTTTAAAAAAAATTTTTTAAAGAATCAGAACAGGATTAATAGGAACTTTGAATTTTAATCCTTCTATTCATCTGTTATAGATTATTTTCCCTAGTAATTTCTGTATTAATAAAACTTAAACATGCCAAGTTTTTTCTAATAAGCAAAATAACCAACAGCTTAATATTTGCATTAAACTCTAACAGTGCACTAACTTTAAATGTTGAAATAGATTACACATTTTAGGGCATAATGGCAGAATATTTGGCTACAATAGACCATAGGATTTTGTTGAAGCAAATAACAAAATGATGATTTGTCATTTTTAATGCAAACTCAATTTTACTGTTTAATGGGGTTTTAATTTTTGTCTTTGGGAAATCTTTTGAGTAGCTGATTTTGTGCACTTTCAGGTCTTTCAAACATGATGTCAGATGGTGAATTTTTAAGAACAAGTTGTGGCTCACCCAACTATGCTGCACCAGAAGTAATTTCAGGAAGGTAGTATTTGATACCCCACCACCCTCAATACATTTGAAATTGTCTTTTTATCCTAGATTCTGTCAGTCTATAGTGTCATAGTTAATTCTAATGAAAAGAAAGAAAAATAAGGCTTATTCTTAACCACATTTATATGTGAATGAGGGTTAAGGACTACAAGTCAACATTATATTAAAGTTGTTAGAAGACAGTACATTAATTTTTTTCCCAGGTGGAAGAAATGGAAAGTTTAAAACCTAGGGTGTTTAAAAAGTAGGTAAGACACTGGAAACTTGAATAATGCAAACATATCTAGTAGTTAGAAAAGGATTACTATTTACTTAGAGGAAAAATCAAACATGTAATGTGTAGCTTTCATTTTTTACATAGATGGCATTTTGTAGTACCTTTATGTTTCATGATAAAATGTCTTGGGGAATTGGGCTGAAGTAATCTTTAAACTTCATTTATGTTGAATCTTTGTTCTTTAAACCTTTTAGAGACTGCAATATTATAAGAATTTTAACCTCTCAATTTACTAATTACCAGCATTGAGAACATGAAGATATTTGTATAGTGTCGCTTTTTGAATAGTTTGGAAAACAGGAGAATTTAATATTTTTAAGAGTAACTCTTTGTCCTTCACTATACTACTGAAATTGAAAACAGAAGCTGAAGTTTGCTAGTTTTGTAATGAACTTTTAATAACTTTTCTTCCAAACCATGCTTATTTGTGTGAATGTTTCCCATCTTGATTAACTCAGAATGCAGAAATACTGTTTTCTTTCTGTTTTCATAAGCTTGTTGGCCTAGACTGCTCAAAGAAATGAGATCTGTGTAAAAACATGGCTATGAGTAAGGCAGGAGTACCTAATTTTAGATTTGTCAAGTTTCATCTTTTTTTAAATATTAATGTCAAAAATTCTTTTAAATATTTTTAAAAAATTGTGTTGTCTGTCTTAATTCTTTTAGGAATAAAACAATTCAGGACATGGAGACTGTGGAAAGTGTTATTTAAATTTAAAAAAAGTGTTATAACTGTGCATATATGCAATGGGCTGTTACTGAAATTTAGTTTTTCTAGTTTGGATAAGGTCTTTCTTCAAGCTCTTGGTGTATGAGAACTTTTACTTTCAAAATAATATTTATCGATCAGTTCAGCAATACATAACTTTAAAGAAATCCTTTTCCTGAATCCAAACTTTGAATGGGTGATCTAACTAGTCTGCGGTTAACTACACTGCACTGCAAATGAGATTTAAAAAATCTGTGAACCAGTTTGCCTGGCTTTCTTTCATAGCCTCAGGATCCTTTCACCTTGGTGTAAGGGGTCTTGCGTTATTGGGATTGTGGGTTCAGAGTCCATTACTAAAGAACATTCTCAGTCGATGAAATATCACTTAATCTCTCCTCTGTAACAAAAACCAATGGTTTTAAATTGAATAGTGATATGTTTGTTCAAGGTTTGGCCCTATTGTCAGATCCAATCAGGGCCATAGTAAATAGTAGAACAGAATTTTAGCCATGGTGTGTAATTTACAAAACTTCTTGACTTTTGTTTTCAAAGATAATACTAATGGAATTAACTTTATGTGTAACATGTAGTAGTGGCTATAAAAACCATATTCTGCTTATGAATTCTTTATGAAATATCCATATTTGAAATTTTTGATTAACTGATCCTTAGGTTAAAATGATTCCTTAATCCAATTGTTATTTCCTGTTACAGATTGTATGCAGGCCCAGAGGTAGATATATGGAGCAGTGGGGTTATTCTCTATGCTTTATTATGTGGAACCCTTCCATTTGATGATGACCATGTGCCAACTCTTTTTAAGAAGATATGTGATGGGATCTTCTATACCCCTCAATATTTAAATCCTTCTGTCATTAGCCTTTTGAAACATATGCTGCAGGTGGATCCCATGAAGAGGGCCACAATCAAAGATATCAGGTAATAAAGCAATTTGGAAGTTATCAGATCTAATAGTATCCATGATAAAAGTTATGTGAAAAAAAAAGTTGCAGAACAGAATATACAGTATAATCCTGTTTTTATGTGAAAAAATAGAGTGTAGAGACACATTTATGTTATTTTGTTATTAAAAATACATAGTAAACTGATTACCTTAGGGAAGTAAGAATAGTAAGAGGGAGGGCTTTCACTTTTTACTTACACATCTTTGTTTTGAAATGTTTACAGTGAACATTATATTACTTTTTAAATTAATAAAAAAGCTAATGAAAGGCTGGTGCGGTGGCTCACACTTGTACTTCCAGCACTTTGGGAGGCTGAGGGAAGATCATGTGAGCTCAAGAGTTTGAGACCAGCGTGGATAACATAGAGAGACTCCATATATATGTATATCTTTTATTTTTATTTATTTATTTATTTTTGAGACAAGGTCTTGCTCTGTCACCCAGGCTGGAGTGCAGTGTTGTGATCATAGCTCACTGTAGCCTGTAACTCCTGGGTCAAGTGATCCTCCCACTTTAGCCTCCCTAGTAGCTGAGAATATAGGCATCCACCATCACGCCTGGCTGCTTTTTGTTATTGTGTTTTGTTTTTTGTTTTTGTTTGGAGTGACAGGGTCTCGCTATTTTTGCCCAGGCTGGTCTTGAACTTCTGGCCTCAAGTGATCCTTGTGCCTTTCCCTCACAGTGTTGGGATTACAGGTGTGAGCCAGTATGCCTGGCGTTAGGATTAATACTTTTCAGTAGTAAATTTGTGGGTTGCTATTTGATTTCTTATCTCATGAATTATTGTATTTTTTTTTAATCCCAAGGAATGAGAAAATTTTAATTTAATTGACATATTTTTCCTGGTAGTATACATTGAATTACATGCAAAATTCCTATTTTGTAGGTAAAAGTCAGTATTACCAGTTTCATCTGGTTCAACCTAATAGTTTAAATTAGACAAAAATGATGATGACAAATTTTCTTCTCAAATTTGGGTGAGCCATTTCTGATGAAGACTTAAACAATTTTACTGCAAGCTTTGTTTCTCCTTTTTTTTTTTTTTTTTTTTTTACCCCCTATGGAAATTTTGGTCTCTTTTGGTCTTCTAATGGCTAGACTGCACATTTATCTGAGAGGGAAGAAAGAAATCAGATATGGATCTAGGAATAGTAAATACGAAAGCATTAGTGTAATGAAGAAGAAGGAAAGATTATATGTGGAACTTGAAGCTTGATTACTTTCCACTTACTACACATGTTTTAGACTAGCTAAAAAAGAGACCATCAATGGCAGGGCATGATTTTATCACCAAAGGGAAAGGACAAATCATTCTCTAAAATTTATATTTTAAGATATCTAGGTAAGAAATGTTTTTGCTTGTGTTTTACCTATTTTTTTCCAATTAAAATGTAATACATGACAATTAAAGACTTAGAAAAACACCAACAAAAATAGAGAAGAGAATAAAAATTATCTTTAATCCCATGACCCAGAAGATAACCATTGTTCTTTTTTTTTTTTTTTCTCCTCTGGATTTTATTTAGTTTTAGCAAAGTGTTTGACATAGTTCACGTCAAACATATTCTTAAATATATGAAGTTAGGGAATTAGAATAGGAAATCATTCAGGGTATGGCCTTTCCAGTCACATAGAACTGGGTTGTAATCCTGGTTCTGTCACTTACTGTCTTTGTGACCTTGAGCATGTTCGTAGATTTTTTTTTTTTTTAACCTCAGTTCCTTCATTTAAAACAAAGAGATATTATCTTCATGTAATTGTTTCGATGATGAGGGGAGATAATGTATATGAAGTGTTTAGCATAAAACTTAGCATATAGTAAGTACTCAATAGTTGTCTACTATTTTTGTTGTTATATTATTTTCACTTAACATATCAAAAGAGTATTATAATGAAGCTACCTAATATGTTCTCTTTCTAAGCTGGAAATAAGCTGTTCTTTGTCATTGTGATTGTCATTTGTCCCATAACTTTTTCCCCCCATTGCTACATCAGTGCATTCTCTCTCTTAAAACTGGAGGGAGATTGGAGCATTTTCCTCAACATACACAATGAAGTGCGAGCTAGAAGAGGAAAATTTCAGTGCAAAAAGTGACAGTAATACAGTATGAGTATAAGTATAAATTAGGTCATATTCTAAATTCCCCAAACTTACTTTCAGTCTCAGCTGTATTCAAAATCATTCTCCTGATCCTGCCTTTTTCTCTCAGGGAACATGAATGGTTTAAACAGGACCTTCCAAAGTATCTCTTTCCTGAGGATCCATCATATAGTTCAACCATGATTGACGATGAAGCCTTAAAAGAAGTATGTGAAAAGTTTGAGTGCTCAGAAGAGGAAGTTCTCAGCTGTCTTTATAACAGAAATCACCAGGATCCTTTGGCAGTTGCATACCATCTCATAATAGATAACAGGAGAATAATGAATGAAGCCAAAGATTTCTATTTGGCGACAAGCCCACCTGATTCTTTTCTTGATGATCATCACCTGTCTCGGCCCCATCCTGAAAGAGTACCATTCTTGGTTGCTGAAACACCAAGGGCACGCCATACCCTTGATGAATTAAATCCGCAGAAGTCCAAACACCAAGGTGTAAGGAAAGCAAAATGGCATTTAGGAATTAGAAGTCAAAGTCGTCCAAATGATATTATGGCAGAAGTATGTAGAGCAATTAAACAATTGGATTATGAATGGAAGGTAAGAAAGAGATAACATTTTGATTATTAGCATATTTGGCAAACCCACAGTCTATAAAATGTTTTATAGAAGAATTACTTTTGACTTGGTTTTTGTTATACCATGTGCTAGGTTGTAAACCCATATTATTTGCGTGTACGAAGGAAGAATCCTGTGACAAGCACTTACTCCAAAATGAGTCTACAGTTATACCAGGTGGATAGTAGAACTTACCTACTGGATTTCCGTAGTATTGATGGTATGTACGTCACACAAAACAACATAGATTAGACATTGTTACTAACTTGATATTTTACTCTTTGATTCTTTTGAGGCTTCTTGACTTGTTCCTAGTGATTCAACTGCAAAGGAATAGAAAATGTGACTTCTTGTGCCTTTGCAATATTAACATTTATGAATCTTATTATTGTAATCTTATAGCATATTGTCCTTTTAAGATTATCATCTTGTAAAATCCTTAAAGCCAGGTAAAGTCTGATCCTAAGGTGATAGTTTTCTGCTGCATTTGTTTTCTTGGTGTAGTTCATTTTGGTAAGATAAATGTTTTATTTAGAAATAAATATTGACTCTTCTGTAAGCTTTTATTTATTATTAAATAAATTTTCAGTTAAGAATGAAGTTACGGCATTTCTTCATTGGCCAATTCAGTTGCATTAAGCTACAGTGTTGAGCATAGGTGTGGTGGCTCATGCCTATAAACAGCCCAGCACTTTGGGAGGCTGAAGTGGGAGGATTGCTTGAGCCCAGGAATTTGAGACCAGCCTTAGCAACATAGTGACACTGTGTCTTTACAAAATATTAAAAAAACAATATATATAGTATCACCTTTGCTTATGGAAGGTTGCATAGAATTATTAGATGAGGTTCACCTATGAAATTTTTTCTTCTTTATAAACTAAAAGATAGTACACACATAGTAGCAGAAAGACACAGGTTTGAGGCATGATATGTTGGCCAAACCAGTTTGTCTGGTTATCTTGAGGTCTATGTAGTATGTATCTGCTAACATATACTAATGCAGTCGGAAATCTGAAACACAGAATGTGTTTTATTTTTCTTGTATTTGGATCAAATTTGCAACCTTAGTTTTACTAGTACTGGGGTATACCAGTTGAATGCCCATTTTTGTTTTTGTATTGTGTTCCCAACCTTAGTTGTTCTTTGATTTTTATTCATTGGAATTGTTGCTCTTTTATGAAATACTAAATGAAATATGAAGGGAAAGTGGAAAGTGAAAAGCACTAAGCCGAGCATTGGGAGAGGTGGGTTCTAGACTTACCTTTTTGTTCATTTGTTACCTTGGGCAAGTCACTTCTCTGGTTTTCTTATCAATAAAGTGAGGGGTTGGATGAGATGGTTTCGAGTATACCTTCCAAATTTGAAGTGCATTGATTCTATGATTTTAGTATAGAGGGATTACATTTTATTGCTATAGAATAATATTTATTAATCCCTAGATTGTTGGTTTACTGGGCTCTTAACCTTGGATTGCAGCTGATGAGTAGCTATACTGTACCCAACTTTGATTAGCCATCTTGAGAATACATACTGAATGTAAAAAAGGTGAATAGTTTAATACAGGCTCATTGATTCTATTTTAGAAGGTATTTAGAATAAACGTGCTCTTGATAGCTGGCCAGCAGCCCCACTTAAAGAAGCAAATACAATACTGTTACAAAACTTTTTGGGAGAAGGTCATAGACTATAATAAATTGAAATTCTTTTTACCCAGATGAAATTACAGAAGCCAAATCAGGGACTGCTACTCCACAGAGATCGGGATCAGTTAGCAACTATCGATCTTGCCAAAGGAGTGATTCAGATGCTGAGGCTCAAGGAAAATCCTCAGAAGTTTCTCTTACCTCATCTGTGACCTCACTTGACTCTTCTCCTGTTGACCTAACTCCAAGACCTGGAAGTCACACAATAGAATTTTTTGAGATGTGTGCAAATCTAATTAAAATTCTTGCACAATAAACAGAAAACTTTGCTTATTTCTTTTGTAGCAATAAGCATGCATAATAAGTCATAGCCAAATGCTTCCATTTGTAATCAAGTTATACATAATTATAACTGAGGGCTGGCGTTTTGAAATGCAATTTGCACAGGGATTGGAACATGATTTATAGTTAAAAGCTAATATGCAGAAATGAATTAAGATCATTTTGTTGTTCATTGTGCAGTACATATATAGCATAATATACACAGTGAATTATAGGTCTCTCAGGCTCACCTGATTTTTGGCTATTTTATATTTAGTGTACACAGGGCTTTGAAAATATTAATTTACATAAAGGCCTTCATATATTATTACATGTTATATATTTGCTTCATAAATTTATTCAATAAATATTTGCCTAGAATTCTCAAGACCTTTATAGGTGATTTTGTTTTCTGGGCTCCTTAACTTCTTAGCTAGTATCTTCCAGCAGTACTAACAGTCTAGATAACTTCTTCCATATCCCTCCCTCTTTGTTTTTTTGAGACAGAGTCTCACTCTGTCACCCAGGCTGGAGTCTCCGCCTCCCGGGTTCAAGTGATTCTCCTGCCTCAGCTTCCTGAGTAGCTGGAACTACATGCGCGTGCCACCACACCCGGCTAATTTTTTGTATTTTTAGTAGAGACGGGGTTTCACTGTGTTGGCCAGGCTAGTCTCGAACTCCTGACCGTGTGATCCACCACCTTGGCCTCCCAAAGAGGTGGGATTACAGGTGTGAGCCACGGTGCCTGGCCTCCATATCCCCCTTTAAAAATTCTGTAGTGTATGGTAAGTCATATCAGATATCAGATCTAATTTAAATTTTATTTTAGCTTTACAAGTCCAAAAACACAGAATTTATATATTCAGATACTCTAGGACTAATCTTAATCTTAAAATATTCCCACTATATTCTGTACACAAAATGTTCTTTTTTTGTTACAAGAGCTGAGTTGCATATACTGTAAATAAATCATATTTTTGCCAATTTCACAAATTCCTCTGGCTCATCATGTCAGTCATTATTGAGTATATGCAAACATTGCTAGTTATTTGATTATGTATCTTTTAAGTTGATTCAGTGCATAGAAAGACTATCTCTTACAAACTTTAAGTGCTCTGATATGACTTCCCCCCCAAATTTTATTATGAACATTTTTAAAAACAGAAAAATCGAAAACGTGTTCAGTAAGCACATGTATATCTACCACTTAGATTCAGCAGTTGTTAATGTTTTGTCATTTGTTTTCTCTATACCTATGTATAGATACAGCTAGTTATGCATATACATGCATATATGTGTGTGTGTGTATATGTATATGTGCTTTTTTTTCCTGAACCATTTGGATGTTACAGACATATCACCGTGAAAATACTTCAAGTATCTCCTACAGATAATGACATTCTCCTAAAAATCCATAATATCATTGTAAAATTAATAATTCCCCAATATCATCTAATCAAGCCATATTTAAATTTCTGAAGTTACCTCCAAATTTCTTTATAGCTGATTATTTCAAACCAGGATCCAATTAAACTTTACATATGACACTTGGTGATAACTCTTTAGTTGGATATAACATTATTATTATTTTGATAAAATGTGGAACAAAGCAATTCTATTAATAAGTGGTCACATTTGTTTTGGCCTTGAAGTACTTTTTAAAGATACTGGATTTTCCTAAGATTTCTGATTTACATTGATATTTTCTTTTTCTCATTCTTAATAACTGCATCACACAATAGATGTAAATGAAGATTTAGTCACCTCAGATAAAACTGGTATCATGTGTATGATAATATTGTATCATTTATATTTGCCTTATGTTAACTTTAAGAAATTGATTTTTTTGTATTAATCATTTTCCCATTGCAACAGAGCTATATTTTTTCTATTTTAAGAATCATATTTTAGGATTATTTTTGGCAAATACAGTGAGCACTTATGTAACCAGATGATAATGAACTCAAATGTCATGATAGCTTGCATAAATGGTGACTCTAGTAGATTTGACTTAAGCACTTCTAGAATCATGCACTGAATTCAAAAGAAAAATCTTGCTGCTTTTTATCCGGGGCTTGTTCTATTCAACTTCTAATTTGAAAGCTGTACAAAGTAATAGAAGTTCCATTTAAATATGAGTTCAAAACTGTATTTATAACTTGTTATGTAGCCCTCTCTGTCGGGGATTCTAATTTTACTTAGGGTCTCTAAATGCAGCATAATATGTTCCTGATGTTAACCGAAGACTGTATTTTTAAAGTTACAAATTTGTATATAGAATTAAGTAATGGCGCTATATAAGCTGTTGTGGGGAGGAGGGAAGAAAAGGAGGAACCAATTAAATAGGACCTTCTAAAAATTGTTAATTTTGTAAACTTTGCTTCTCTTATAAGTTATTGTGATTCAGTTTAGTTACTGCATTTTATTTTGAAAATATTTAAATATTGCACTTCTATAAATAGTATGATAAATGCACAGACAATTGCAGTAAATTCTTTTTTAAGCTAGGATATTTGAAATGACAACCTTTGGTTAAGTGTGTCAAGGTTGCACAGAATTTTCACAATTTTTTTGTTGTTTGCAAATTGTTACTAATATTGAAGAGGGAGGTAAGGGAGGCAATGCAAATGATTTTTAATCTTTTTTTATTATCTTTTCAGCAATTTATATTTTTTGTGACTTTATGCAACCATATTTTTACTTTGTCTTGACAACTGAAAGATGTATAAGGTTTTTTTTTGCCAGAAATGTACTGTATACATAGTTTTAAATATAACAGATTTTACTGATGTGTAAAAATTTTGCCATTAAAATAATTGATTTCTCACTGAGAGGAACTTTTCTACCAGGTTGGGGCATATGGGAGCTTAATATATCATATCTAATTTAAAATAATTTCAGTGAAATAAACTCCATTGCTTTTACTTAACTTTTTCTTGAGATGCTTTTGTAGTTTTTCAGAGTTTTAGATGATTTTATACAAAATCCTCTGCCCAGCACTGCTCTTTTTGATGTTGTAGTGACACCATTCACATTGAATTACTGCTTGGTAGCCTGTGGCTATATGTGGGAACTCCATGCATCTGTGTTCTGACTGGCACCTTTGGAATGAAAGAAAAGTGTGTGCTGTCCAAATCTTTTTTCCCTTAATTCCTTCCCTCCTCTTCCCACCCATAATAGAAATTTTATTTCCACTGTGAGTTCTGACAAGAATGAAATTCCACATACAACGTAACTGTAAATTGTTGGTAGGTAGAAGTTAATATTTGTGGTTCATGTATATTTTGACCAGAGTATATTTAAGTATACAATTTCAACTTCCTTGATTTAGAAATATGATATAATAAAGAAAAACTTCATTTATAATCTGTTACAATGTACTTATGTTTTTTAACCTCTGGGAAAACTCAGTGGGAAAAAAAAAAAAGGCTAAGTATCTGTGCACCTTTCTTTTTAACAATGTACTAGCCAGGTGCGGTGGCTCACACTTGTAATCCTAGCCCTCTGGGAGGCCGAGGTGGGTGGATCACCTGAGGTCAGGAGTTCAAGACCAGCCTGGTCAACATGGTGAAACCCCGTCTCTACTAAAAACACAAAAATTAGCCAGTGTGGTGGCGGGCGCCTGTAGTCCCACCTACTTGGGAGGCTAAGGCACGAGAATCACTTGAACCTGGGAGGTGGAGGTTGCAGTGGACTGAGATTGTGCCACTGCACTACCAGTCTGGGCGACAGAGCGAGAATCTGTCTCAAAAAAACCCCACCAAAACAACAACAACAACAACAAAATGTACCTAGAAATAGAAAATATAGTGCCTGACTACATTTAAGTTCTCAAACATTGTGATTTTTGTCTTGACTACATGAGTCTTGATTTCATCTAAAAACCAACCACTTGAACAAAACATTATGATAGATACAATAAAAGCCAAAGCAACTACCATTTATCAGTTGCTAACACTTGATTTGGTTATAGTCCTACTACTGTTAGAATTCAATTAGTATTAAATATTGTATCCACATGGCATTGTTAGGCAGGGGCTTGTGCTAGATTGTTGACACTCTGTTATCTTTAAAACAACAAAAGAAAACTGCTAAAGAGTGTTATGAATGTATGTAAGGTTTTTTTTAGGGAATGTATAAATTGCTATAGGTATTTACCTTGGCTGTACAAGAATTGTCCAAGAAATTCTTGTTTGAAAAATCAGAATTTTTGAAGTCTTATTGTAAATAAACTTCAGTTTACTGTAAATGCCAATAAATTATGACTAAATTTAAAGGATTTTGGCAAGTGATCATGTCTTAAAAAGACAGCATAAGACATATATTAAATATGTTAGGTGAATCAAGATCATAGACCAGTCAGAGTTAGTAGAGAAGTGGTGAGTGAAGTATAAAAACTTAGTGGGAGCTACCCTTAAACATAGTAGTGGAGATCAGGGTTAGGTTACTTGAGAAATTTAGCAAAGACCCCTAGGTAGGGGCACAGCTTCAAGCACCACTTACTCACTCTGCAAACTCCATTCCTTCTAATGGCTACTATGAACTAATGACACTATGAATGTGACCATAAGATGAATCCTCCTCTGGATGTCTTGTTAGAGAGGTACATGTTTTCTTATTTAAGACTTTCATAGACATACATACAGAAAAGTATACAAATAAGTATTTGGCTTAATGAATTTTCAGTGTTTCAGGTATACAGGAAACATGACCATGTAAACCTCTAGGCAGATTAAGAAACATTGCCACCACCTTAGTGTTTTTCATAATTAATATCAGAAGTAAACGGTCACTTCTGCCTTCTGTAAGTAACACAGACGAACCGTGGTACAACGTAGGAAGGCAGTGCATAAGGATGTGAATGCTAGGAGTGAATGCCATCTTGGAGCCTGGCTACTGCAGTCATGCATTGATCGTTTTCAAATATTACTGGTTCACTTATGCAGCCTGCACAAATATTGGCGTATTTAAGCAAACAATGTAAATAAAAGTCACAACTAATAATGACTGATATCACAAAATTCTGGAGATACTGGGAAGCTGCCAAGATCATTATGGTGAATACCATTTTTCCAAAATCATATTTTTTTGCCTAAAGTCTTGAATTTTGTCATTGGCAACAAACTCAATTTTTTTTTTCTCTTTCCTCCCTCCCTCCTTCTCTCTCTTTTTTCCTTTCCTCTTCCCCTTTCCCTTTCCTTGTTTTTCTTGAAGTTACGGATTCCCTTCGTTCATTTTTCAAGAAAGGTTTGTCAAATACCCAAGTACTCATCTTAGGAAAATTTGTGTTCCAGGAAAAAAAGTAGTTAATAATGCCATCTCACAATAGCTCTTCTTTGATACATCATACTTCAATATGCAGCAGAAGTACTTTATGAGGACTTCCAAGTTTTTACAAAGAATATTAAGTGTCAGGGTGGTTATAATAAAGTTAACTTATTATAAAGTAATAAAGTAACTTTATTATGCTGGAGACAGCATTCATTTTTTTTTTTTTTTTTTTGAGACCGGGCCTCGCTCTGTCGTCCAGGCGGGAGTGCAGTGGCGTGACCTCGGCTCACTGCAGCCTCGACCTCCAAGGCTCAAGGGATCCTCCCAAGCCAGCCTCTGAGTAGTTGGGATTCAGGTGCGCGCCGCCAGGCCTGGCTAATTTTTGTATTTTTGGTAGAGACGGGGTTTCGCCATGTTGGCCAGGCTAGTCTCGAACTCCGGACCTCCCAAAGTGCTAAGATTACAGGCGTGAACCACCGCGCCCGGCCCATTTTTCTTACTGTGAGCGTGTGGTGGTGAAGAAGAGCTCCCGGTACGGTTTGGTGTCATTACTGTAATTCCTGCGGAGGCGCCAGCACCTTGACCTGCCATTGCTTTTCCACCATCAGTGCAAACGTCAGCATTGTGCAAAGGGCAAATCACGTCTTCATATTAGTATGAAAATAATTTTGGCTTTGAAAGGGTGTCGGTGACCCTCAGGACAATGTTGGTCGACATCAATGGTTCTCAACGGGGCAGGGTGGGAGGGCTGGTTTTTCTTCCAGGGGAAATTTCACTGTCTGGGGAAACCATTGGCTGTCACAACTGACCAGTGGTGGCATCCCGTGGACAGAGACCAGAGATGCTGCTAAGTACCCTACAATGCACAGGACACCCCGTCCCCCAACAAAGCATGATCCAGTTTGAAATGTTAATGGCGCTGAGGCTGAGAAAGCATGACTTCCAAAAACGAGTGTATTGGGCAGGAGAGTTGGATAAATTAACAATCTTGATTACCTTTGTTACATGTGCTCGTTTATTTTCAAGACATGACGCACAGCTACGTTCAGGCCGTAATACTGCCTTCCGGGTCCAACTCATTGTAACTTTCACGTGAAGGCTGCAGTTCAGCCTGGAGCCTCCCTGACTAGCTTCCCCGCCCCGCCGCCTCGAGCCCTTTATAACCGAGTTTTGCCTCGCTGTTCTCTGCGTCTGGCCGACCTCATCAGCTAGGCTATTAGGCAGGAGCATATCCTAATCCTTTGAATCCCGTAAAATCGTAAAATTTTCCCCTCACCTTATTCCCCACTGACTGGACGCGACGCTGCGCGGTACCGCTGGGGCGGCTCCTACTGGTGCGCTCCTCAGCCCGCGCAGCCTCATTTTCCCGCGCTCCTGCGCTGCGGTCACTCGGTGCTGCTGTTAGAGGGCGCGCCCAGCCGCGTGGCCCTGATTACTACAAATCCCAGAAGGTCATGCGGTGGGGGCGGCCGCGGTGACTTCTGGGATTTGTGGTCTCGGAGAAGGGATTGGCGGAGGAGAAAGACAGAGTCGTCTTTCCTTTGCCTGCTTCTGTGGACTGTTCGAACGCCCCGGGGTGGGCCAAACACGTTTCTTAGGAAACCAGGGATCCAGGGCAGGCAGGTAGGAATTTGGGCGTGATAATTTCTGCTTCCAGTGGGCAAGAATGTAAACACGGGGCCTTGGGAGGTGTTATCAGGTAACTGGGGTTGCCCGGTCGGCGGTGGAAGCTGAAGAAGAGGAGGAAAACGAGGCGAGTGGGTGCTGTGATTAGGGCAGAAAGGACCTTCGGAGTAGGAGTAGAAACCCGACGGGATCCGGTAGAGCCTGTTCGCTAGGGTTGGTCTCCAGGGACAAGCGAGTCTAGGGGTCGGGCCCGCAGTGGCACCTTCGCCAGGCTGCGCGGCCGCAACCTTCCCTGCGCGGTGGGAGGGGCGGGTCGAGCCGGCCGCTCCCCGCTGGAGAGGTGTCTGCGGCCCGGGGCGGTCCGTGCACGCGCAGGTGACGTCCGGGGCAGCCTTTCTGAGCATTTTTATTATTGTTGACCAATGAAGGGAAAGTCGCTAATACTGGTTTTTCTCTTGCGGTGGCGTTTTTTGGTAAATCGTTTCTTGGATTCCTCACCTCTGAATACCTCCTTCTACCCAGAAGGATGCTGTTGTGATTTCCTGATCTTGTTCATGTAGTGGTTTTTCCCTTTGGGTGCTGCATCCTCAGACAGTCAAGACAAGCCCTCTCTGGCAGCTGGGTAAATGTCAAGCCGTCAACAGTTATTGAGCGCCTACTATAGGGATCATTGTAACAGTACAGGAATTTAGAATACAGCGTCGTTGTTTAGAGCTGTTATGCCATTCCTGAAATATAATGCTGTATGGAAGGTTGAATTTGTCTGGTTTCATGAGTTTAACATGAACATGAAACCGGTGTGATTGTGGTTTACCCATATGGTTTCTTATTCTGGTAAAAAAATGTTAAGTCTAGGATGTTGGCACCTCGGGCTTCTAACTAGACTTAGGAAACCCTCCTTCATAAGAAGTTTTCATTGCATGTTCAGTTAGTCACAGAGGAACAATAAACTCGTACGGCTTAAGATATCTGAAACAACTGGGAGTGTTAAATTTTCCAATGCAGAAAGTGCTTTGCATGTTCTAGGATTCACACACCTTTTTAAGCCTGCCTAAGTTTTCTTCAAAGCTTAAGTCCTCCAGGAAGCCTCAAGTGTCCCTTCTCTGATGTCATGGCATCCTTTGTTTACTCTCTTGTAGCACTTACCGTGTATTGAAATTGACTGTACTCTGTGGTTTCCAGACACTTTTGAAGAAAATATAAAACTTCGCTAATGGCCTTGATAACAGATTCATGCTTTTACACCGTAGTGGGCCCTTGATACTACTGTTTGGTATCTCTATTTATCCTTTGTTGCTTTTCCTTATCTCTGCAGTGACTATTTTAGATCTTTTCCGTTTTTCTCAAGAACTCAGATATGTTATTTTCCTTTTACTTTGAGCAGATGACTAGCCGCTGTTTGCTGGAGAAATGTGAAGCTTAGGGCATGAAATTCCTCATTTTCCTTTCCCTCCATCCCTGAACTTGCCTGTATGTTTCACTCAATATTAACTCTTCTTTTTGTCTGAGAGGAATGTATTTTTGTCTCCCTCTTTCAGGTTAAACTTGTCGATTGCTAGTGGCATCAGGCCTCCCACACCCTCATTACCTCATTCTGTCCTGGCCTCTGCAGCCTCTGATCTCTAGAAGGTCTCAAGGGATCTGTGGAGGAGAATGACTCAAACACCTGAGGCAACAGTGTGCATGGTCTGTTCACATATGGTTGAGAACCACCACCTTGGGCCTTAACCTGTGCTTGTCCCCAGCATTTGTAACAGTGGTTTGGGTTGGAAGATGGGGAGGGTAATCGGAGTCTGAATGACCTATGAATTTAAAAAAATCTGTAGGTCTGTATCTCACTTTTTCCTTTCCTTCCGACCCTATCACAGCCCCTCATAGAATCTACAGATCTGATCAATAATTTTTTTTTCCTTTGATCAATGATTTTTATTGTAATTTGCCTCCAGTAAACACACTAGGTTTCCTTTAGTATTAGTAGGGTTCCCACAGTGCCTGGTGCCTCACATTATGAATAAAGAAAGTTTCATTTGGAAACTTGAAACCGGAAAACGTGGTCATCATTCTTGTTACCATTAGGGATAATCATAAATACAAGACTTTTTTTTTAATCTTGTCTTACACTGATACCTTGTGAGTCTTTCCTAATGATCTGTATTTTCTCAGGTTGTCCTCACTGTGTGCCTTTTAACTTCTGTTCCATAATATCCACACTTCCCGTTTTCAGCCATCTTCCCCTGTGATACTTATAATCATCTTCAAACATGGGAAACTCATTCTCCTATATTATGATCAGTCTGGGGAGAGAGTTCGCATTGTCCTTATTCCCCAGCATAATTTATAATCCATTAGTCCTCCAGGTTTAAAAAAAAAATCTCAGTTCCTGTGGAAAGCTTGTGGTTCACCTATATCAGCCTGTATATTTCTTTATTTCTTTTTTTTTTTTGAAATGGAGTTTTGCTCGTGTCGCCCAGGCTGGTGTGCAATGGTACAATCTTGGCTCACTGCAACTTCTACCTCCCAAGTTCAAGTGATTCTCCTGCCTCAGCCTCCCAAGTAGCTGGGATTACAGGCATGCACCACCATGCCCAGCTACTTTTTGTATTTTAGTAGAGACGGGGTTTTACCATGTTAGCCAGGCTTGTCTTCAACTCCTGACCTCAGGTGATCCACCCGCCTCTGCCTCCCAAAGTGCTGGAATTACAGGCGTGAGCCACCGTGCCCAGCCCAGCCTGTATATTTCTTGATTGCTGTGATTTATTGGCTCTCTCTCATATTTGTTAAGAACTCAGACATATGACTCACAATTTTCCTACCCCTCCAAATTCTGCCATTATCGTAGGTCTTTTCATGTGAATGACCTCACAGCCACCCTCACTTTTTTTCTCACCTTCCTTCTAGTGATTACAGGGATCATTTTATTGTGCTTCACTTTATCGCACTTCATAGAGACTGCGTTTTTGCACATTGCAACTGTACAGTAACCTTATGTCGTGCAAGTCTTTTCGTGCTGTTTGTCCAACAGCATGTGTGCACTTAGTGTCTCTGTGCTACGTTTTGGTAATTCTTGAACTATTTCAGACTTTTTAATTATTACTATATCTGTTATGGTGATCTGTAATCGATGATCTTTGGTGTTAACAGTCGTAATCATTTTGGGCTGCCATGAACCATGCCCATATGAGATGGTGAACTTAATAAATGTGTGTTTTAAATGCTGTACCACCAACTGGCTATTCCCATCTCTCTTCTTCTCCTTGCGTCTCCCTGTTTCCTGAGACACAGCAATATTGAAATTAGGCCAGTTAATCCTACAATGCCCTCTAAGTGTTCAAGTGAAAGGAAGAGTTACACATCTCTCATTTTAAATCAAAAGCTAGTAAATGATTTTAGGAAGACATGTTGAAAGTCAATGCAGGATGAAAGCTAGGCCTGTTGCACCAAACAGCCAAGTGGTGAATGCAAAGGACAAGTTCTTCAGTGAAATTGAAAGTGCTACTTCAGTAAACACACAAATGATAAGAAAGCAAAAACAGCTTTATTGCTAATATGGAGAAGCTCTGAGTGGTCTAGGTAGATCAGACCAGCCACAGTATTCCCTTAAGCAGGAGCCTAATTTAGAGGAAGTTTCTAACTCTTTTCAATTCTGTGAATGCTGAGGGAGGTGAAGAAGCTGCCAGAGTAAAGTTTGAAACTACTAGAGGTTCGTTTATGAGGTTTAAGAAGCCATTTTCATAACATGAAAGTGCAGAGTAAAGCTGCACATGCTGATGTTATCCACAAAAGATCTAGCTAAGATAATTGATGAAGTTGGCTACATTAAATGAGATTTTCTTTTTTTTCTTTTTTCTTCTGAGACGGAGTCTTGCTCTGTTGCCCAGGCTGGAGTGCAATGGCCATGATCTTGACTCACTGCAACCTCCACCTCCTGGGTTCAGGCAGTTCTCCTGCCTTACCCTCCCCGGTAGCTGGGGCTACAGGCGTGCGCCACCCACGCCCAGCTAATTTTTGTATTTTTAGTAGAGACAGGGCTACACCATGTTGGCCAGGATGATCTTGATCTCTTGACCTTGTGAGCCTCCCACCTTGGCCCCCAAAGTGCTGAGATTACAGGTGTGAGCCACTGTGCCCGGCCACAAGATTTTCAGTGTAGATGACACAGCTTTCTATTGGAAGAAGATACTCTCCAGGGCTTTCATAGCTGCAGAGAAGTCAATGTTTGACTTTAAAGCATCAGAAGACAGGCTGACTCCTTAAATTGAAGTCAATGTCTATTTACCATTCTCAAAATCCTATTGTCCTTGAGAATTATGCTAAATGTACTTTGCCTATGTTCTATAAATGGAACAACAAAGCCTGGGTGATGGCACATCTGTTTACAGCATGGTTTACTGAATATTTTAAGCCCACTGTTGAGACCTGCTCGTGAAGAAAAGATTCCTTTCAAAATATTACTCATTGACAGTGCACCCTGTCATCTAAGAGTTCTAATGGAGATGTACAAGATTAATGTTGTTTTCATGCCTGTTAACACAGCATCTTTTCTGCAGCCCATGGATCAAGGAGTAATTTTCACTTTCAAGTGTTACTATTTAAGAAATACATTTTGTAAGGCTGTAGCTGCCATAGATAGTGATTCTTCTGCTTCATTTGGGCAAAGTCAATTGAAAACTTTCTGGAAAGGATTCTAATTCTAGATAACCATTAATAATATTTGTGATTCATGGAAGGTGGTCAAAATATCAACATCAACAGGAATTTGGAAGAAGTTGATTACAACCTTCATGGATAACTTTTGGGGGTTCAAGACTTCAGTGCAGGAAATAACTGCAGATGTGGTGGAAATAGT